CTGTGATCAGGTCTCATTCTTTCACAGATCCTATGCCCCTGGTCTGTGAACTTCACAACTGCGTTTCAAGTTTCTTCCACCCATTTTACATGGGCCAGGATGGCTAAAGCTTTCTGTGTTTGGGTATTTCTTTTTTCTTAGGTCAGGTAGGCTATGATAAAACCCACACAAGGTTGGGCTCTGGTTATTAGTTTTTCCTGATGGCAGACTTTGAAAGAGTAACAGAATGCTGGTATAATTTCAAATGCCCAATACCCAAGCAAATGGGGTCTTTGTCTCTCCGGGAATATTTTTGAGGCTCTCTTAAACTCCTGAAAGTAAAATTCACCTAAGTGTGGGCATAGCCCTGTGACAGACTTTTTAACTCTTATACTTGATCACGTTTAGCTTACAGCAGGCACTCAAGTACAGTTCAGGTTCCTCTACTTGAGTTCTACTGTCTATGGCAGTGTCGATCTATCAGTTTCTATCATACAAGGAGACTGATATTCAGGTAAAACTAAAGCACAAAGTTATTTTCAGGGCCTACATCAACCCACAGCTGTATCTGATCATTTATATCAAGACATAAAAAGAGCACATCCCAAGAGGAGAAATTCTATCAGCACATGACTAATGGAATGGAATGTACAACAGAACAGCATACAGAACCATGAAGGGAGATCACTTATTGCATAAGCCTTCCTTCAGTTGTGATTCTTTGTATACAGCAATCACTTGTAAATTATGGAGACAGTAGCTTGCCCAGTAACCTTACTTACTTCTCTGAAGGATCATTTTAAGGTTAGAAGCATTGTTATCTCTGTTTGCCCCACTTTTACTCATCATTAGAGAAAGGTGGTAATGTCTAAGCTCTATATCCATGGAACCCACACCATATTAATTTGCTTCCTTTTACTACCTCTGTGTAACTGCATAGGAGTGAGGCATGTAGGGAAGGAGGCATCAACATATTTGGCAGAGATAAGTGGTAGGTTTCATTAGGATCACGGTAGGATGATATCAATGATGATGATCTCTACCATCATAAATCTAAAGAAGAGATCAAGGGTTTCCAGATGGGAAGAGTAACAAAGTCTATAGCAAGGATGGGGACAGAAGGTTTTCTCTGGAAAATATTCACATTCTGACTTCAGACATTACTCTCAAAGAAGGTGTTATATATCATCAATTGTAGACAAGAGCTACACCAGCAGAGTTGAAAGATCTTCCTCTTATAATTTAATATTTTACTTTCTGGATCATACTTTAGTGCACTATGAATTTAAAAATCTCTGTAATCATCTTATGAATAACATAGTTACATTGTTTTGTAGTTTTTATACCCAGAAAAGCCATTTACTTATATTTAAATTGAACCATAATTGTTATATATCCTGTTTTCATTTTTCCTCTTAAAAATCTTAGAAACATAAGCCTTTCCTGATCTCTGAGAGTGACTGGGCTTGGGATACAGAGTTTGTGGTTTACAAGGAAGCATCAACAGAGTCCAGGGAGCAAGATGAGGACTCACAGGGACCAGAGTCAGGTTGTCTTTGGCAACATTGAGGTCAATGGAAGTCAGGAGCAGAGAGAGGGCTCCTTGCACATGAACACAGGCTAGAAAGGCCTGCTCCTAAGCCCTTCCCAGCATGCTATGGGCTGAGTGTTGGTGATTCCCTGAAGCTCCTATGCTGAAATCCAATCATCAATGCAATAGTATTAAGAGATACAGCTGTTAGAAAACAATTAGGGCAGATTATGAAGGGTATTAGTATCCCTTTATAACAGAGGCCCCAGGGAAACTTATCTGCCTCTTTGGTTACGTGAGGATGTAGGAATAAGGTACAATTAATGAGGCTAAGATTGAGTCTCATCAGATGCTGAATCTTCTGCTACCTTGTTCTTTGATTTCCCACCCTTTAGAATGTGAGTGACAACTTTCTGTTACTTATAAATCTCTCCGTCTTAAGCATTCTATTATAGCAGCCCAAACGGACTGAGGCACTGTGTGACCCAGGCTCTTGGCAACGCCTGAGTTCTCAGGTGTTCACCCTTTTACAGCAGTCGCTATCTCTGCCTGTGGGTAGGAAATAATATATTTGATGCATAATTAGTCCATGAATTATTGAGAACTGACTGGAATGAGATAAAGAAGGGCTGCTGTCTGGATTAGGAAATACATTTCATACAAGGAGACTGATATTCAGGTAAAACTAAAGCATGAAGTTATTTTCAGGGCCTACATCAACCCATAGCTGTATCTGATCATTTGTATCAAGACATAAAAAGAGCACAACCCAAGAGGAGAAATTCTATCAGCACGTGACTAATGGAATGGAATGTACAACAGAACAGCATACAGAACCATGAAGGGAGATTATTTATTGCATCAGCCTTCCTTCAGAACAGCCCACTTGATGCTAATGGAAATGACTCATCTTAGAAAGGAAAATGTTACTCCTCAGGTGTGGGTCCCTTTTTGGTGACTTCCTGAGCTCATTTTTTAAAAAACATCCATGCCTACTTGTTCCTGAACAGCTCACCTGCTGTGCCAGTTGCACCTGCAGATGGCCAAAAGGGGTTCCAGAGAGCAGCTACTAAAACAATGTACCGAGAGTAAAAGGGAAGTGGCCTGGCTTCCTGAGGACCTGGAGCTGAGGGCTGAAGCAGGATGTGCCTGGGAGCAGAGGTTTGGAATGTGCTGAGCCTAGGGAACATTTCCTGCAAAGGTCTTGAGGCAAAATCCTCTTGGTGTGTAGGGAGAACTACAAGTGGAATGTGCTATCCTATGAGGCTAGCAAGGGATCAGCCTGGAAAAGCTCTTAGGACCAGTTCTTGAAGAGTCTTGTGTATGGGGTAGGAAGCCTGCAAGGGTTTGCAGACTCTGAAGAGCCTTACAGAAGGAAGTGCCATGCTGAGACCTGCATTCCCAAGTGGAATCATGTGCATTATAGAACTGCAGGACATTGAGCAAGCTGGCAGGCCTGAGTCTGGTTAGAAGGCCGTGGCAGTCAGTGCAGTATTAAAAGGCCCAAACACTCACGATCCACCATGTGTCATTTGCATAACAGAGTGAGGTCCATATTGACAGAAGCAGGTACACAGTATGAGGAACAGTAATTATGTCCCTACTCTGTACTATTTTAAATTCTTAGCTTTAAAATTCCACATCTCTAGGGTAGCCTGTCGTGAAGGGTGATGTTATATTCTCTCCCTTATTACCTTTCCCCCACCCTTCCCACTTTCCCTACACCTTTAGCCCTTTACTTCCTATTTCACATTATCAATTATCTCATTAGGATCCTGTACTCTATTATAGTTTTTCACACCAAAGAAACTATTCAGTATTTCAGTTAAAGATATCTCTGTATGAAGAATCTGTATTAAAAATAGGGAATCCTAAAATAAAACTAAAAAGGAAAGTAAAAGAGAAAAGGCAATGATGTAACATTAAAGTAATCCTTAATTCTGGAGATGAAAATGGTCCCTGAACATATTTAAATTGCTTCTTTATTATAGTTTTTCACACCAAAGAAACTATTCAGTATTTCAGTTAAAGATATCTCTGTATGAAGAATCTGTATTAAAAATAGGGAATCCTAAAATAAAACTAAAAAGGAAAGTAAAAGAGAAAAGGCAATGATGTAACATTAAAGTAATCCTTAATTCTGGAGATGAAAATGGTCCCTGAACATATTTAAATTGCTTCTTGCTCTTATAGTCTTATCTTATTCTTTTTTTCATTATTTAGAGAATACTTTATTAGTTTCTGTAATCAAACCCACGTAGATGTGACCTTACATATTTAGTACGATGTGTTACCCCTGTACACATGGAAAAAAAATAAAAAATAAAAAATAAGGGTGATGTTATATTCTGAGCCTCTGGCACAATGAAGGGGGAAGAACCAGAAAACAACCCAACATCAGTGGGTGAAGCAGTAGGGAGACACCTGTAGAGACGTAGTCAGCACTGTCTGTAGTTGGGGGAATGAGCTATCGACGTGACAAGAACATGGGATGGATCTCAGGCACGTGAGCTGAAGAGAAGAGACCCAAAAGATACATGAGATGTGCTAGGTCCTACATGACTAAAGAAATACATAAAATAGCAACACAGTTTTAAAGACACACACACACACACACACACACACACACACACATGTATGTATGTGTAACCAACTTTTAAAAATTTTGAGATAGGGTATCACTATACTGCCCAGGCTGGTCTTGAACTTTCAGTCTTTCTGCCTCAGCTTCCCAAATAGCTGGGATAACAAATGTATGACACAGCATCCCACCTATAATTTACAT